ACCTGGAGTAAGATCATGAACAAAACAAGTACAGCCAAAAATATGTAAAGGCAGAGGATAAGAAGGTGCTCCGGAAAACAAAATACTGTGGGGAACATCATTATTTAGCACAGAAGAGGGCATGCGGTTGATAAGGAAACATGAGGTGATAATAGCATTTGCCCAAAAACGGAGTGGGACGTTCATATGAATGAGAAGGGTACGTGCAGTTTCAACTAGATGTCTATTTTTACGTTCAGCGACTCCATTTTGTTGTGGAGTGTGGGGACAGGTAGTCTGGTGTATCGTCCCTTGTGTATCCAGAAATTTAGAAAATTCAAGAGACACATACTCTTTTGCATTATCAGTGCGCAAGATTTGAATAGAAGCACCAAATTGAGTTTTTATTTCTGCACAAAACTTTTGATAAATTGAAAATAACTCAGAACGATTTTTCATTAAATAAACCCAAGTGCAACGGGAGAAATCATCAATAAAGGTGACAAAATACTGAAAACCCAAAACAGACGTTGTTCGACTCGGACCCCAAATTTCAGAATGAACAATAGAAAAAGGAGCATCAGCTCTTTTATTAACTCTATTAGCAAAGGAGGAGCGAGTGTGTTTTCCTTGCTGACAAGAATGACAGTTTAAAGACTTAAGATTGGATAAAAAGGGAACCATATGCTGAAGCTTGGAGAGGTTTGGATGACCCAGACGGCTGTGAATTAGCTCAGGAGACTCTGTGAGAGAACAGGCTACTGGAGAAGGTGGTGCAATCAGATAGTAGAGACCTCGTGACTCAACGCCTGCTCCAATCGTCTTCCCCGTACCCGAATCCTGCATAGAAAAGGATTGGTTAGAGAAGGTAATAGTACATGAAAGAGAATGAATCAACTGACTAACAGAGATTAAATTAAAAGGAATGCCAGGTATATAATAAACAGAACTCAAAGTTAAAAGGGGAGTTGGGTTGGCTTCCCCAATTCCACGAGCAGAAGCCTTAGTGCCATCAGCAAGAGTGACAGGGGGTAGGTTATTAGAATAAGAAAGTGAAGTGAAGAGATCTTTATTACCACAAAGATGATGAGTAGCACCTGAGTCTATTATCCAGGGTCCAAGAGATGATTGATAAAAACAAGCAACATGATTACCAGTGTCTTGAGTAGGATGCTGAGAAGAAACTTTCTTGAGAAGTGCCTCATAGTCGGCACTTGAAAGAGTTACTAATCCAGTTGAAGGTGGCGTAACATCAGTTTGAGCAAATTTGGCAGACGGTGGCTTCAAATGAGGGTACTTCCTATAGCAGCGTTCTTCAAAATGCCCAAGATTCTGGCAATAATTGCAACGAGGCCTCTGTCTGCGGCCACGTCTGCGACCGCGTCCACTGTTCCAATTGGAATCACTGGCCCGAGAAAAGAATGGAGATGGGGTAGTACCGGAGATGATGCCAGTCGTGTTTTTGGACGCATTATTTGAGCCCTCCATCACAAAATAAAAGGACATGACCAGAAAATAGCAAAGAACTACAAGAAAGCAAGAAATCGCGCAAAAACGTTGCACAAAAGCGTCCAAACAGCGGGTTTTTCACTGATATCTTTCAAATGAATGGGACCCACAACGAACGGAGACCAAATCTGGAAAGAGGGTGAGGAGGCGAGCAAGATGGTGGTGTTCCGGCCTGGAACGGTGGCCGGACGGTGGCTCACGCGCCGGAACAGTGGTTCGGCCGCCAGAGACTTCCACCGGCGCGTGGATGCTCCGATCAACACGCAGCTTGGACAGACAGGGTCGCCTCCCTGAGCCGCTCCTGATCGCGTGGTGGTTGGTCGGAAAAGTCGCCGGAAAAGCTGTCTGACGGCGGTGAACAGTGGCAGATGGTGGTTTTGTGGCGGTTTCCGGCGATGAACGGAGGCTTACGATCTTTTTCCTGATGATACGAGGTTGAGGACAAGAAATTTGTGACTAAATAAGGGTTAGGTGTGAAAGGATGGTTGCCGGTATGATGCACGGCAGTAAAAAGGAAGGAAAAGATATATATGCGGAAGCAGAGATGGAGTTCTTTCGTTCTGGGAACCCTCGCCTCCGCTTAGAAACCTTGTTTTTTGCTTTAAAACCTAAGCCCACTGCTTAGGAGTCCTCTTTCTTGCCGTGCGTCCTTCTGGCAAGCCTTCTAGGGCTGTAAACAGCCTCTGAGTGATTTTTCCAAACGCGTCAGCACCTCCGACGGCCACCGGAACCACCGCCCGCCGTCAGAATCACTGTTCAGGCAACCAGAGACTTTTTCCGGCGACTTTTCCGACCAAACTTCACGCGATCAGGACCCTCTCTTCCCGGCGACCAGGTCTGTGGTGGTCCGGTCAGCAACGCATCTCCCACGCGCCGTCACGCGCCACCTGTCTTCTCTGCGCGTGGGCTTCACGCGCCACCTTCTGCCGGCGCGTGAGCACTATTCCGGCGGCTTTTTCCGGCCGACCTTGGACAGAGAAGCTCGCCTTCTCCTCCCCTTTTTGGATCTGTGATTGTTTCTCTGTGGGTCTGACCTTAGACGCGTGGTTCTTCTTGATTGGATATCGTTTGCCTTCGTTTACGGCTTTTATATTTTATCTTTAAATGGCAGCAACATCTCCTGATCTCTCGGAGGTTAACTCTCCTTCTATTGTTGCAAATATAGCTCAGTCAGACAATGCATCATTTGGTTCAGGTTCGGACTATGCTGCACTCCAAACCCCTCTCAGGAAGGCTTCTCCTCAATCTCAGCCTTATACTGGTAATCCTGTTGCTTGTGTTTCTCATTCTACATCACTTGGCACTTGGATATTTGACTCCGGTGCTACCGATCATCTCTGTGGTAATAAGGAACTCTTTACATCTCTTACTGATTCTGATCATTTACCGTCTTTTACCCTTGCGGATGGAACCAAACCCCCAGTTCGTGGGATTGGACAAGCTCGTCCGACCTCTACCTTGGCGCTGACATCTGTCTATTACATTCCTGGCATCCCTTATAACTTAATTTCTATTAGTAAGTTGATCCACTCCCTCACTTGCACCATTACTTTCTCTAACCATTCTGTTTCTGTGCACATGTAAAGAACCTTGGGATACACCACCCCAAAAGCTAGCTCAAAGGGTGGGAGTGCCTAAGACCTTATAAACTCCACATTAGTTGCACATACAACCAATGTGGGACTATATATCTCAACACGCCCCCTCACACGAGAGCCCATTGGGCTTGAAGAGTGGACAATGCAACAGGCCCAGCCTTCCTGTACTAAGAAACGCCACAAGAGAAAGTGGGGGACGGCGAGGCTCTGATACCATGTAAAGAACCTTGGGATACATCACCCCAAAAGCTAGCTCAAAGGGTGGGAGTGCCCAAGACCTTATAAACTCCACATTAGTTGCACATACAACCAATGTGGGACTATATATCTCAACAGCCATCATTTGATTCATGGAGATGCAACCCAGATCAATTTGGTCGTGGAGACCAACTTCGTCCTTTCTCCATCTTCTTTCTCTTCTTTCGTTGTCTTCTTTATCATCTTCCTATTCTTTGATTTCTTTTGCATCTTCTTCTTCTTCTACATCTTCTTTTTCTTCCCCTTCTACCTTGTCATCTTCTTCTTCTGTAGTTGTTTCTTCTTCTTCTCTTCCGTTGATTTTGTCTTTTGCTTCTTCTTTGATATCTTCTTTTTCTTCTTCAATTTTTTTTTCAGACCCAATATTGTGCTCAAGACTGTTTTTCTTCTTGATTTCCAATCTTGGTGTCTCCATCTTCTATATTGCCTCATCTAAAATCTTCACCATTTTTATCAAAATTTCCTTGAACTCTGACTTGCTGGTGTCTCCCATGGTTTTCACACTCTAGGATTTGGATCTGTAGCACCTCCGGGATCAAAGATGCTCTAATTCCAAATTGACGGAACCTAAAAATCTCACTGTTTATTTCTTTCAATAAATGGAGGCAGAGCCTCTTACAAATGCCATATACAAGAACAAGACACTAAAAAGACCCTACCTAGCTCACCTTTAGAACCATCAGACCTAGGCTCCAAGAGATCCCAAATTCCCCACTTACCAAAATGCTTAATTCATACTACCCTCACTCCATCAATTCCCTCTCTTCCACAAGAATCCCCTAACTAACTAACTCCCTCTCTTTCCAGTCCATCAGTTTTATTTTAAACCAAATGTTCCCCTTAAATGCATGTTATGACAATTTCCTTGGCGTGTTCTTTCCTTTCATGCAAGTTGAATTCTGCTTAATGAGTGCTTTTAGTTGAGTTAAAACACATTATATGATACAATTACTTGAGATATTACTTTGTTAGCTCATAAAAGATGGGTGGGTGTGAGAGGCATATTTGCATATCAGTTTACATAACAATGGAAGCGAAATATACGGGCTTGTAATTCCATGTTGTGCACGACCAGTATGCATACAAAATTAAATTTGGTGCTAAATACCCTAGGAGTGGTTCAGATGGGTTGTCTTCAGAAATTTGCAGAACAAAACTGAAAATATAATTACTTCAGTCTTCATGATTCTAGGATTGGATAACAAAGACTTTAGTTTGTTTAGCGACTCATAATTAATAAAAACAAATTAATTACATTCTAAATGTGGGCCCTGTTCAATTCAATAGTTGTCACTAACATGTTGCCTTTTAGTTCTTGGACTGTCTTGTTATATAAAAATGGTTTACCTTTACAATTGGATGATTTAGGTTTTATTACAAATTTAGACGTGCCTGTTCTGTTTATCAAATTGGTTGACTGCTCATACACTATATAATCAGACATATTGTTGTGTTGTTTTATTGGATCTTGTTATTGTGAGATCTTTGTACAAAATGCTGTGTTGTATTGTGTTGCAGCTGGACCATTTGTTTCTATAGGGTCTTTCAATTAGTTAAGGAAACTGATAGTTATGCATTTTTAATTTTTTTTATATGCCACTGGATTGTATTTGACTAACTTTGTGATGCTGTACCACTTATTGATTTTCAAAAAAGTGGACTCCAACAGGCCGGCGTCTTATTACTGGCTCACAGACCGGAGAATTCACTCTTTGGAATGGACAGTCTTTTAATTTTGAAATGATTCTTCAGGTACATAATTAGTCTTGATGTTATTATGGTAGTAGTCAGTAGTTTAAGAATACTAGCAGTCAAAGGTGGATTTTGACGCATGCAGGCTCATGATCAAGCAATTAGATCCATGGTCTGGAGTCACAATGACAACTGGATGGTCTCTGGTGACGATGGAGGCGCAATAAAGTAGATATATACTTTAATTTGTTGTTTGTTTCTTATAAGTTTCATTTTCATATATTTGAGTAGATTTTGGTGTTTAAAATCACATGTATGCATGGGTCATTTTTCTAGGTATTGGCAGAACAACATGAACAATGTTAAAGCCAACAAATCTGCTCATAAAGAATCGGTTCGTGACTTAAGGTAGATACTTTATTTGATTATACATGAAAATTATAGCATGCTGAAGAGGAAAATGTCCTGTAACTCTTTTGTAAACAGTTTTTGTAGGACAGATTTGAAGTTCTGTTCGTGCTCTGATGATACCACAGTTAAAGTTTGGGATTTTGCACGCTGTCAAGAAGAATGTTCATTAACTGGTAATGTACTTTGATGAACCTGATATGAGGAGTTTTCTGTATTTAATCTGGTTGGAGTCTTGAAACTGAATCGTAACAATATTTTATTAATATATACAGTCGAGGCTTGACTTTGCCCACATAATTTATCAGCGTCTCTGCTGTATTTGAGGCTAGTTAATAACAAACTGTATTGCTTAGGCACTTGAAATTTGGAGAGCCCCGGTTGATCCATGTGGCCGAGCTCTGGCATAGGGCTTAGTGGTTGTGGGTTGCCCATTTGACTTGATGTTTTTTTTCTCTTTTTAGTGTGACAAGACTGAGCTGCTATGTGCAGAGACTTAAGATTAAAGAATAATTGTATATTGAATAATCACATGGTGTATTACAATGTACAAGAGCTCTCTATTTAAAGAGACTAAAAGACCTAATAGGTTGAGCTCATACGATGTGGGACTATATATATACTGAACTATTTTTACAACTATTCTAACACTCCCCCTCAAGCTGGAGCATATATATTGTAAGCACCCAGCTTGCCACAAATATATTCAACCCGAGGACCCCTAAGAGCTTTAGTGAAGACATCCGCGAGTTGATCATTGGAGTTGACAAATTCCGTTTTGATTTCTCCTGACTGAATCTTTTCTCGAATGAAATGACAATCGATCTCTATATGTTTGGTTCTCTCATGAAATACAGGATTAGAGGATATATGTAGTGCAGCTTGATTGTCACAAATGAGAGTCATGGGTTTTTTCTGTTCACAAAGATGGAGCTCCCGAATCAACTGCTTTAACCAGATTAGCTCGCAGGTAGCAACTCCCATTGCACGATACTCGACCTCTGCACTAGATCGGGCAACAACAGTTTGTTTCTTACTTTTCCAAGAAATCAGGTTTCCTCCAAAGAAAACACAATAGCCTGAAGTAGAGATCCTGCCCAATCGGCATCTGAATAACCACAAATTTTTGTATTTCCCTGATCTGAATATAATAAACCTTTCCCTGGTGCTCCTTTGATGTAACGAAGGATCCTAACAGCAGCATCCCAATGAGAATCACACGGAGAATCAAGAAACTGACTAGCGACACTAACAACAAAAGAAATGTCCGGCCTAGTCACAGTGAGATAATTGAGCTTCCCAATCAACCTCCGATAACGTCCAGGATCAGATAATGGTTCTCCTTGTCCGGGTAGTAATTTGATAGTAGGATCCATGGGTGTGTCAACTGGCTTACACGCCAACATACCAGTCTCTTCTAGGATATCCAAGGCATACTTCCTTTGACAGATAGAAATGCCCTGTCTAGATTGTGCTACCTCAATTCCCAAGAAGTAACGCAGCTTTCCAAGGTCCTTTGTCTGAAATTGACTGAATAAATACTGTTTTAACTGACAAATTCCAACTTGATCACTCCCGGTGAGGATGATGTCATCAACATAGACTAACAAATAGATGCACTTATCAGGAGATGTGATCCTATAAAACACAGAGTGGTCAACTTTACTGCGAATTAAGCCAAACTCCTGAACAGCAGAACTGAAGCGACTGAACCATGCTCGAGGAGACTGCTTGAGACCATATAAGGATTTGCGAAGACGACACACCTTCCCAGACTCCCCCTGAGCAACAAAACCCGGTGGTTGCTCCATATAAACTTCTTCTTGTAAATCACCATGAAGAAAGGCATTTTTGATGTCAAGTTGAAGGAGTGGCCAGTGACGAATAGCAGCAAGAGCAAGAAATAGGCGAACTGACGCCATCTTAGCGACCGGAGAGAATGTATCGCTATAATCAAGGCCGAATATTTGAGTAAAACCTTTTGCAACTAGGCGGGCCTTGAGTCGATCAACATGGCCATCAGGTCCAACTTTCACAGTAAACACCCAGCGACAACCAACTGTAGACTTCTGTGGAGGAGCAGAAACAAGGTCCCAAGTGCCATTGGAATGAAGTGCAGTCATCTCATCAAGCATCGCTTGGCGCCACCCTGGATGGGAAAGTGCTTCACCTGTGGTCTTAGGAATAGAAATAGAAGAAAGACTAGAAACAAAGGTGAAATGAGGTGAAGAAAGACGGTCATAGCTCAAAAAAGTATAAAGAGGATAAGGGTTACGAGTAGTACGGGTACCTTTTCTTTGAGCAATGGGAAGAGCCTCTGGTGAAGGATCCGGAGAGGAAGAAGCAACAGCAGTGGGCGATGAGTCAGCAAGAGTCGAGTCGACAGGAGGCATAGTTTTGCGACGCTGATAGGTGAGAAGTGGACGGTCCTCAGGTATAGAAGCAATAGGTTGCTCATTTGGAATAGAAGCACCTGCAGCTGGCAAAGACAAGTCAAGAAAAGGGACAGGAAGAACATGATCAACCTGTGACAACTGAGATGGAATAGAATTAAAGGGTTGTTGATCAAGAAAAGTGACATCAGCGGAAACTAAGTAACGCTTAAGATCGGGAGAATAACAACGATAACCCTTTTGAAGACGAGAATAACCAAGAAAGATACACTGAAAGGCTTTGGATGTTAACTTATCCTTACCAGGAGTGAGATCATGAACAAAACAAGTACAACCAAAGACATGTGGAGTTAGAGGATAAAGAGGAACATCTGGAAGCAATAGGTTATGAGGAATGTCATTGTTGAGCACAGATGAGGGCATGCGATTGATGAGAAAACAAGAGATGAGTACAGCATCTGCCCAGAAGTGAAGGGGAACCTGCATATGAAGAAGAAGGGTACGTGCAGTTTCAATGAGATGTCTGTTTTTACGTTCAGCCACCCCATTTTGTTGTGGAGTGTGAGGACAAGTAGTTTGATGTAAAGTACCTTGTGTGGCCAAGAAATTAGAAAAATCAATAGAAACATATTCCTTAGCATTATCACTACGTAGAATACGAATAGAAACACCAAATTGAGTATGAATCTCAGTATAAAACTTTGTATAAATGGAAAATAACTCAGAACGATTTTTCATTAAATAGACCCAAGTGCAACGGGAAAAATCATCAATAAAGGTAACGAAATACCGAAAACCTAAAACAGACAAGGTACGACTTGGACCCCAGATATCTGAATGAACAAGAGAAAAAGGGGCATCAGCTCGTTTATTGACTCGACTGGCAAAAGAGGAACGTGTATGCTTCCCTTGTTGACATGACACACAATCTAAAGACTGAAGACCGGATAAAAGAGGAACCATTTTTTGCAACTTCGAAAGACTTGGATGACCGAGGCGACTGTGGATAAGTTGTGGAGATTCTGTGAGAGAGAGTGCCACTGAAGGACGAGGCACATCCAGATAGTAAAGCCCCCGTGACTCACGACCCACTCCAATCATTTCGCCCGTACCCGGATCCTGCACATAAACAGAATGGTTAGAGAAAGTAATGGTGCAAGTGAGGGAGTGGATCAACTTACTAATAGAAATTAAGTTATAAGGGATGCCAGGAATGTAATAAACAGATGTCAAGGCCAAGGTAGAGGTCGGACGAGCTTGTCCAATCCCACGAACTGGGGCTTTGGTTCCATCCGCAAGGGTAAAAGAAGGTAAATGATCAGAATAAGTAAGAGATGTAAAAAGTTCCTTATTACCACAGAGATGATCGGTAGCACCTGAGTCAAATATCCAAGTGCCAAGTGATGTAGAATGAGAAACACAAGCAACGGGATTACCAGTATATGGTTGAGACTGAGGAGAAGCCTTCTTGAGAAGAGTTTGGAGTGCAGCATAGTCCGCAAGTGAGAGAGAAACTGAACCAAATGATGCATTGTCTGACTGAGCTATATTCGCAGCAAGAGAGGTAGAATCCTTCAGTTTGGAAGATGTAATGAGCCCAATATTAGTAGAGATGATTCCTGAGGAAGTTTTGACAGGAGGACAAGGAGAGTTAACCTCCGAGAGACCAGTGGACGCTGCTGCCATTTAAAAACAGAATATAAAAGCCGTAAACGAAGGCAAACGATATCCAATCAAGGAGAACCACGCGTCTAAAGTGAGACCCACAAAGAACCAAGCACAGATCCAGAAAGAGGAGAAGAAGGCGAGAAGTTCTGTCCAAGAACGGCCGGAAAAATCCACCGGAACAGTGCACACGCGCCGGTTGAAGGTGGCGCGTGAACACCACGCGTAGAGGAGAAGAACGGCGCGTGGAGGCGCGTTGATGACGCGACGGTGGTCGGACCACCACAGAACTGGTCGCCGGGATGAGACGGTCCTGATCGCAGGTAGTCTGGGCTGAAAACTCGCCGGAACAGTGCTCTGGTGGCCGGAACAGTGACGAGCGGCGGTTGTTGGCGGCCGGAAGTGGTTCCGGTGGCCTGAACAGTGACGAGCGGCGGTTGTTGGCGGCGGGAAGTGGTTCTGACAGTTGAAGAAACAAGCCGGAGAGACACACGGCTTAGAGAAAAACTCACCGGAAGAATGCACGGCAAAGTAGAAGAGAACACCTAAGCAGTGGGCTTAGGGTTTTAGCGGAAGCGGATCCCCAGAGAGAAAAAGCTCTGATACCAACTTAAGATTAAAGAATAATTGTATATTGAATAAACACATGGTGTATTACAATGTACAAGAGCTCTCTATTTAAAGAGACTAAAAGACCTAATAGGTTGAGCTCATACGATGTGGGACTATATATATACTGAACTATTTTTACAACTATTCTAACACAGAGAAACCTTCAATTTAACTGGTTCTCTTGTTCAAATTTGTATTTGATTACAATATCACTAATTTCTATAGGATAATATTAAACATGAAATTTGGCACAATTATTGATTTATTTCTTAGTGGAAATGGAATTATCATATGACCTTCTATGGAGTTAAGCATTTTAAAGTGAACCTCTTGCTCTATGTTTGAGTACTTAGGCCCCTTTGTCAATTTTGAATGGTGCTAAACTAATGTTTGAAGTAAAAATGTTTCTGCCTTTTTGTGTCACCAGGGGTCATAGGCAAGGGATTTTTTTATTTAAATTTTCAACAGTTTTAAATATAAACAGAACAGTGATAAATTTAAATGAAGGTAATGACTGAATTTTTGACAATTTTTTATTTTTTTTAGTACAAAATGGCTTATACATGAAATATTGCAATGCAAATACACCAGAAAAAAATGCACTTTGTTGTGTAATCTGTTAGAAAAACTTGTTTTATCATATGTAAAATACCATTATTGGCATTAATGTCCAATGTTGACTGCATGGAGAAACTTTTGAAGTACCAAATAAGATGAGGTCAATCTATCATTTCTACTCATTATTATGTCTGTTGTAAATACTTAGGTTTGCACCTTTCTAAAGAGAATAGAGAGGAGGGAGAGAAAGAGAGAAAGCTAGGTGAGAGATAGATAGTACTCACAGTAGCTCTATATATATAGAGCAGGGGAAGCTTGTAAGCTAAGCTAGGAGAGGTTGGATCTGTTATGCAACTGCATAACAGAATGCTACCTCAGCACAACTCACTACAACAACAGAATTCTAACCATCCTGAAAGCTGAGTAATCACATAAACTGAGTGTACTAGCATGAGATCCCAGTCTTTACAATAGAACTGCACAGAAGTAATTTCTCTAATGCAGAATACTTGATTATACCTCTTGAATTTTATGCTTCTATTAACTTCGCTTTAAAGCCAGTCTATTTGATGTGATTACTCAAAATTTGCTGTATAATTAATTCCTTGATTGAAGTCCTAGAATCCATCTCATGTGTTTATACTATTCTTTTGTCCTTTTTTATGAACTAACTTTCGGAGTTATCGTTGTGGCATTTGAACTCAGCCAGGCCATGGTTGGGATGTGAAGAGTGTTGACTGGCACCCTACAAAATCTCTTTTAGTATCAGGTGTTTTAAATATTTATTTTATGAAATTTCTTGATATTATGAAGTTCAGTATAGTGATACATATCCCATTTGTTTTTTTTTACAATACAGGTGGGAAGGACAATCTTGTGAAACTTTGGGATGCTAAAACGGGGAGAGAGCTTTGCTCATTGTGAGTGTAAATTTCAGTTTTGATGTCTACTGTTTCATTTGCCTGTTTGTGTCTATAGATATATACTCTTGTCATGCAGTCATGGCCACAAAAATACCGTGCTCTGCGTCAAATGGAATCAAAATGGCAACTGGGTGTTAACAGCTTCAAAGGATCAAATTATAAAGGTTGTAACTATATCTTCATGGTAGTAGTTAATGGACATTTAATAGGCATTTGCCTATCTTTTCGAATTTTGGATGATTATCTGAACTTTAGGGATTTGAGTTGGATTTTATCTACCAATCAATCTTCTGTATCATTTTCTGTATTGCTCTGTCCTTTGATTTATTCCTGCTTTGTGACTTTCAGTTTTTTGCTCATCATCCTCCACCTTGCTTTGTTATTTGACATAATCCTGCTTTGTTACTTTTATTTATTTATTTATTTATTTTGCATATTATACATTTATCTATTCCAGAGTACTAATATTCATAAATTTTATGTACCCTATAATTGCAGCTTTATGACATAAGGGCAATGAAGGAGCTTGGATCATTCCGTGGACATCGGAAGGATGTTACAGGTAAGTGACATGTCGTGTTCTTTGAATACGAATAGAAGGACAGTTACTTGAAAATAATATATCCTGTAATATATATTATATAATGACTGCTGAGAAGAAATATGAAGATGATGGATCGCTGTAAGCCCTTCTACAAAAACAACTTAACAGTGACTTTGAAACTTGCTTTGATGTCATATTTTTACTTCTTATGATTGAGTAAAAGTTCATTGTGACAGGAAAGCATATTCCTAAAAATTTGGAAATTCTTATATATTATGTAGCTGTGACTAGATTAGTAAATCTGGAGTTCTGCTATATTACTTGGTGATAGTTGAAATTATAAGGATTTTAGGGAGGGAAGGAAGGGGAGAGATGAAAGGAATACTCAGAATAAAAATTATATTTAAGGGGGCGAACCAGAGCAGTGGTAAAGCTGTTCTTTCATGACTGAAAGGTCATGGTTTCGAATCCAGAAAATAGCCTCTTTGCAATTATGCAAGGGTAAGGCTGCGTATAAAGATTGCCTCCACCCCACACTTGCAAGTCGAGTTTAACATGGAGTGGTTTAAAATTAAAAAATTGGTGTAATAGATGTGATATGATGTGTTACAAAAGACCAAACACTTATCCTATTTATACTAATGCTAAACTCCTAATCATTATTAAATAAGGAAACATATCATGAAATATAATGAATAATTAAGAGATCACGTAAGATACTGACATATTTTATGATAGAATAATGGTATGATTACATATTTTTCAGATATCCTAACATTGATGGAATGCTAGAAGGTTTACATACAATTTACTTGAAGCTACTATAATTTTTGATTTGAAGGAGCTGATTAGAATGGTTTATTTTCGTTGTTGGAAAATGTCCTCCAATTCAACCCACAGTTCTATGAATTGATGTTCCCAGTGTTATATGGGAAGTGTTTTTTTAAGGCTAGGTGCATCTTAATTGTTTGACCTCAATTTTTGCTTTTAGTTAATCGTCTTAAGCTTTCAGTTATTTAGGTAATGTGTTCTGTAATTTATTTTTTGACTTTATGATTTGGCATCATTCTCTTGAGTTGAATAGATGTTTCAACGGCTACCATCTTTTGTATGTGTGCCTTGGCTATGCCTAACCTTGTTAGCGATTATTAGCATGGTTAAATTGCTATCAATGAGATACCTGTATAAGAACTTGTTAGAAACTGAATCAGAACACTCTTAGTTGGGGTAAATCTACAGTATTATTCCTCTGAGAATACTGGTACTAATAGCATACCAGTATGCTATTACTACCAGTGGGGTAGACTTACTATGAATGATAAAGATTGCAACTGTAAAAAGATAATACAGGGTATTTGAGAGACACTGCATTCTCTTTCACAGTCCTTTACTTATTTTCCCGCCTCTATTTCTCCCCATCTCCTTCTGTATAACCATACAGGCCAACTTTCCTTCTCGATTCCCCTTGATTGCTGATAGGAGACCACCTGTTGTGAAGGTGTACGCTAGGAAGGGCAGTAGGGGATTGTGCCCTTCCTTTAGTGGAATCGCATCACCAACAGAATGAATAGTGGGGGCTGAGGAGACAGATAAGAAGAGGGGGGAAGCTAGTTAAGGGGTATCTTGTTGGCTGGGTAGAATTAAGGAGAGTAATATAGCCTCTCCAATACTGTTTATCTTTCTTTTCCTGTTCATAGCTATTATGTACAAGCTTCATACTGATATCCTCTCACCATATTAGTTACAGTAATACAATCCACACTTTTCTTCTTTTTCTGTTTGTCTGTGATACGAACCTTGGGAGAGTGGTAGGACCCATTTGCAAGGTATGAGACTTGGAGTCCCACATTGGTTGTATGAGCAACTAATGTGGGGTTTATAAGGCCTTGGACATTTCCACCCTTTGAGCTAGATTTTTGGGTGGTGTATCCCAAGGTTCTTATAATTGGTATCAAAGCCTTCTATTATGTCTCCCAGTTGCAATCGAGCGGCGCGGGTGGTGACGCTGGCAGTGCGGAGTTCGCCTAAGGCTAGTAAAAGACTAGCATAAAGCCAGCCCGCATGGGCGCTGGGGCTGCGAGCGTGGTGGAATGTTAGGACCCATTTGCAAGGTATGGGAATTAGAGTCCCACATTGGTTGTATGGGTAACTAAGGTTGGGTTTATAAGGCCTTGAGCACTCACATTTTAAGCTAGCTTTTGGGGTGGTGCATCCCAAGGTTCTTATTAGAGAGCCTCACCTCAAAAGCTAACTTGCAAAGTCCATACAAAAGCCCACACCAGAACCTTATGTTTCCGATATGGGACTCCAAGTCCCATACCTTGTAACTGGATCGTAATATCTCACCATGCTCCACAATTGGGGGACATAGTGGATGCCCTGATACCAATTGTTACAAACTTTGGGAGAGTCTCACCCTAAAAGCTAGCTTGTAAGGTAGGAGAGCCCAAAGTCCATATAAACCGCATACCACAACCTTATGTTTTCGGAATTGGACTCCAAGTCCTATACCTTGTAGCTGGATTGTAATAGTTTGATACTATCAATTGCCTTACTGGAAATTTGTTGCAAAATCTCTCAGTTTCCCTTGAGTTGCCTCACGCAATCTGTTACATCAATCATTCAATTCTCCTTGATTGCCTCTCCTATGCTCTTCCCTGATATAAACCTTAATTATAGATGTTTCCTAATAGAACTTCAGCTAAAAACTGGTTAAGGGATGCAGCAATTTAGTTCAATTACCTTGTTATCCATCTTTGCAGTACTTTTGGTCACCTTTTATTGTATTACTTTATTGCAACAGCCCTTCCCATTTGAAAATTGAGTTTGTTGTATTCTTATGGATTAATTCTCCTACATTAGATTTCTCATGTTGTCTTCTTAACAACTTAAGGTATTGGGTGTTGTATGGAGCATTGTGCTTATTGCTATTCATCCTTTTGAATTTCTAAGTAGGCAATTGGTGAAGTTTCTTACTATGGTGTTTCTAATATTCTTAGTGGCATTGGCACAAAGCCATGCTACGCATGCATGCACAGAGTTTCACAATTTGTTGTGTACATAGTTATTATGTTTCGTTGTGCTACTGTAGTGTACCATTACTCGGACTGTAGGGCAAATTGCCATTTTCTCTAATGCTTCTGCGAGTGTAATTGATTGGAATATAAGTTTTATGACTTACTTTGACACTTTTCTTAGCTTTGGCTTGGCATCCATTCCATGAGGAGTACTTTGTCAGTGGGAGTTATGACGGTTCCATCTTCCATTGGCTTGTTGGGTAAATTCGTCTTTTCACTTGAAATGTTCCTTCTCTCCTTAATTCTTACTTATACTATTTTGTGGAATTTTTTGTCTCTTCGTGTTTGTTTTTTTATCATTTTTTTTCTTTTGCTTATGTCATTTTTTTGGAGCCAATCCGACTCAATTTTAGTCTGAAAATCATTAAGAAAGCATCATCAACATCTACTTGAGGTTGAAGATATCCTTTATATGCCCCCAAGTTGGATTGCAAGTATTCAATTAGAACCATTTTTGGGAAGATTCAGACGAGGTGTTTTAAGGGGGGGAGGGGGGGATATCACGTGAGTAGATTTTCATAGGAGGAGATCTAAATGGACACGTTGGACAAAATAATGGAGGTTTTAATAGAATTTGTGGAGGTTTTGGCTATAGGATTAGAAGTGAGACTGGCGAAGATATCTTGAATGTTGCACTACCTTATGATTTGATGTTGACAAATGCCTTTTTTTAGTACAGAGACTGACAATTGATCACTTATCGCAATAACCGAAATTTAGAGAGGATAAAACCTTGTGTGTAGATAGTAAAGTCTATCTTGAAGAATTTGTAGCTACGCAACATAAGTTTGATGGTTTTAGAAGTTTAGTTGAATAAAGCACCAAAGATGTGGAAAAGTACCCATAATCTAAGAATAAGATGGTGGAAGTTAAAGGTTGAAAAGCAAATAGAGATCAAGGAAAAATTGCTTCAAGGATCATGGCAGTTAGATGGTGATGTCTATCTAAAAAGTGGGAAATGGGGTTTTAGGGGGAAGTAAAGGGAAAAACATAAAATAAAGGAAACTAGGTGGTGGACTGAAGAGGTGCAGGAGACAATTAAATAGAAGAAGTGCTTAAGTTGTTTGCATAAATGGTCAAATGAGGAGAACTTGCAAAAGTTTAGATTGGCTAGAAAAAATGCCAAGAAAACATTGCGAGAGGCTAGAGGCAAGGTTTTCTTTAATTTATACTAAGGGAAAAATGTGTGTCATTTTAAAGGATATAAAGTTGTGTCATTTTAAGTGAGAGAAAGAGATAAATAAAGGAGGAGAGAGAGTGAACAAAAAAAATAAAGGTGTGGGTCCCACCTCTTTGTGAGAGTGAAATGATATAAGTTGTGTCATTTAAAAGGACAAACACTTTTCCCTTATACTAAAAACTTGGGAGCACAACATGCAAAAAATGTATTTACAGACTTGTAAAGATAATGGACAAGAAAAGTAATGACTAGAACAAGGTTAAATGCATCTAGGATGAAAATAAAAAACTTTTAGCAAGATAATGACAGATGCAAAAGTTAAATAAAGATGATGATCTATTTTAACAATGGGGGTAGCGACAAAAGTGAGGTGGATTTGGGGGATGCTTTTGATGATTTGAATAGAAGGTTTGTGTGTAAAATTAGAGTCCATGAAGTTAAGTAGGCACTGAAGAAGATGAAGACTAGTACAACTTTGGGACCTGATGGTGTCCTTATTGAAGTGTGGAGATGGCTAAGGGATGTGATTGTAAGTTGGTTGACAAATCTTTTTAATAAGATTCTCTAAAATAACAAGATCTCTGATATATGGAGGAAGAATATGCTTGTGCCTATTTATAAAAGTAAGGGAGATATCCAAAATTGTTCTGAACTATATAGGAATTAAGCTTATGAACCAAACTAAGAAGTTGTAGGAGAGAGTTATTTATTTAGCATCGCTTGAGAATAGAGACCAATGTCTCTCTTAATCAATTTGAATTTTTATCATGAATATGTTCCATGGAAGCTATTTTCTTGATACAATAGTTGGTGGAAAGATATTAAGTAAAGGACTTACATATGGTGTTTGTTGATCATGAGAAGGCGTATGATAAGAATCCAAGAAAGGTTCTACTGTGGGTTTTTAAGAAGAAAAAAGTTCCATCAAAGATATGTATGATGGTGCTACTGAATGTGTGAAGGCTTGTAATAGAACATCAAGTTATATTCCTATTATAGTAGGTCTACACCAATGCTTTGGTTTGAGTGCTTATGTTTTTGAACTATTTATGGATGAGCTACAAAAGATATCCAAGACGAGGTGCCATGGTGTATGCTATCTGCAGATGATGTTATGCTTATTGATGAGATCAAGGACGGTGTTAACAAAAATTATAATTGCGGAGATGCACGTTGGGGTTCAAAGGATTTATGCTAAGTCGGAGTAAGATTGAGAATATGAAGTGAGTTTGCTAGGAAAAGTGGTGAAGATCAAGATTTCATGCATTTGCTTGGATAGGATGTAAAGATTTTTTTTGATATCTAGGATCAATCTTGCAAAAAAAGGGAGAGATTGATGAGGATAAACCATAAGATGAGAGTAGGTTGGATGATATTGCCCACTACATCATGGTTTTTGTGTGATCGCCAAGTATATAAAAGGAAAATTCTATGGAACAGGGTGTAAGGCCTGCATGTTATACAAAACTGAATGTTGGCCAACTTGTAGGCTACTAGAACATATAAAATAGGAGTAGAGGAAATAAGAATGTTAAGGGGGATTGTGGGCTTACAAGGATGGATAGGATAAGAAATAAATATGTTCGACAAAAAATAAGAGTACTGGTGACGGAATGCAAGAAAGCTATTAGCACCGTGGAAGGATAGATCCATTGTTATTTTTATTTTCCACTTCCACATGGTCCATTTTAGTCCATTTTCCTTATTTTTTCCTTTATTTATTTTATTTTCCTCTCTAATTTACTTTTTCCCTAATATTTGTTTTTATTTTTTTTTGCCTGTTGTTTATCTTTATTTTCATTCTTATTTTTATTCTATTTATTGTTCTTCTTGTTGTTTTTTTTTTCTTTCCTCTTTTCCATCAATCTTATTTTGCTTTTTATTTGGGTTCATTAACCAATAACCCCAACTTGTTTGGGATAAATATAGTGTTGATGGTTTTTTATGTCAGGAAAGATTTTTTTTTTTGTCTGTATGTATATAAAGAGAATGCTTAGATATGCAGGTCTAGAAATCTAGATAAAACAGTTGTTATTTGCCCATGGTTGTTTAATTTTTTTACTGAAATTTGTATATCTGATCAAGTTGTTGCTTATTGTGATTATTACATTTAATGTATTTTGCAGGCACGAGACTCCACAAATTGAAATTTCCAATGCTCATGACAATAATGTGTGGGATCTTGCATGGCATCCTATTGGATACCTTCTTTGCAGGTGAACATAATCTTGCTCTCTGCAATAGCTTCCTATGATGTTTTTTGGGTTTCTTGTTCTGTTTCTTCTCAGCTTTGCAAGCCCAATGTTCTGAAGTTTCTGTTCCACAGAACTGTCTTTCTGTTAAGTGTCTTGTGTAGCTTTCTGTTTTCTAAATTCCAAAACGCTATCTTTTCAAGGAAATTTAGGAAGAAACTCTGATGGACCTCATATGTTGTTTTGGAATCCCTTTCAAGTTTCTGGTTTCCTTGTTATACAATTTCTGTACCAATATACATAACGGATTTTGCATCTGTTAAAGAGTAGTATAATATAAAAATTACTTTTCATGGCATTAGAGCTTCTATGATCCAAGGGGTCTAGAGTTCGATTCCTACCGTCCACACTTTCTAAATATAACTAAAAGTTAAATTTCAACGCAATGTAAACCAAAAAATGGGCCTCAACATTTTCACGCTTCAAAGCCCATAAAAGATTCTCGTGTGACAGGTGTGTTAAGAAATAATATAATATAAAGCATACTTGTAAATAGCGTCGCTTTAGCACGCTATAGCGGAGTTACATTGCGGTGCGGTGGCCAGCCGCCATAGACCGCGCAGGGATGGTTAGGTTAAGTGTAGCAGCTGTAGCGGCCGCTATTGCGGCTGAATCGTAGTTTCTGCAAAAGTATTCTCGTCGTAGAAGGAAGAGAGCATGTTGAGCGAAGACAAGAGATCAGGGGTGTCGATCCTCGATTCTAGAACCTTCTTTAGCTTCTGAGACAGACCTTAAGTTCTTTGATTTTGACATTTTACTTAAGTGGCAGTAAGAATTTTGACTAATTTTGCCACTTTATTTTGTTGTGTTACATTATTTGAAACTTTAATTCCTTCAATTTTCTTATGATTCGAATTTTAATGTTTGAAATTATTTATTTTGAGTTTGAGATTCTTAAAATTTGTTTTTTGTCACATTTTCATTTATTAAGTTTTATATTTGTGGAGTACAATTTAGTGTATCACTTAGGTACACTTGGCACAGTAGCATTGTAGTGCTACCCGCTATAACGCTATAGCAGTTTGGAGGGTCAGCCGCTACGCGCCGCTATCCGAGATTAATAAGTATATTATAAAGTAATAAAAGTGCCTTCACCCGACAGCTTAAACATTTGGGTTGAATTGGTTACTTTACAACATCTACAAAAATTTCTTGAATTCTACTTTGGTAGGCATGTTGTAGCCCCATCTAATTGATTTGTGGTTATCTGAAGAGAGTGATAGCCTTGATTTACTGGATTTCCATGTTTTCTTATGCAGTGGTAGCTCTGATCATACAACAAAGTTTTGGTGCAGACATAGGCCAGGAGACTCTGCTCGTGATAGATTTAACACTGGCATGCAAGGTCTGTTTAATTTCCTAAAGGCAAATGAAGCAACTTGTTATCACGTCTTCTTCAGTATAGAATATTACCTTTATGGTCTGATGGGCCCAGATTGCTTTCCGTATTTAACATTTCTTGATAATTTAAACCATATAAACGCACTCTGTTAGTATTAAACTTTTGCTTTAAACCTTGAGGTAGAGATTGCAATATTCATAGGCTCTCAGTTGTAGGCTGAAGAGAATTGTGGATGGTAATTCTTTTAGTTAAAATTATGGTCTGATATGAAAGATTGAAACATCTGACATTAGTTTGAATATATGTTCATCTGTCAGGATATACTGAGCAAAATCCTGTTGCTGGTCGTGTGAGTGGTAATTTTACAATACCTGAAGGCCCGACAACTCCAGGACCATTTGCTGCTGGATTGACTCGAAATGAGGGTACCATTCCAGGTGTTGGTGTTGCGATGCCCTTATCTATTCCTTCTCTTGATGTGCCTCAAGGGGAGCAGAAGCAACCCCATCCTGTTTCAATGGGTGCTCCTCCTCTCCCCCCGGGTCCACATCCCTCTCTTCTTACTGCCAGTCAACAACAACCATACCAACAGAATCCTCAGCAGATGCAACATCAACACCAGACACTACCACAACAGATGGGTCCTTTGCCTATGCCTCCAAATATGCCACAGCTACAACACCCTTCCCATTCGCCCTTGGTCCCTCACCAACATTTGCCTCGCCCTCCACCCCAAATGCCACTTGGGATGCCAGGATCTCTACCAGGGATTTCATCAGTTCCAACATCACATCCAATGCCAATGCCAGGTCCAATGGTATGAGTTCTAATGAGCTTTTCTAATATCCTATATATTGTTTTTTAGTTCCTTCCTACCTTAAGTGGTAGATTTTTTGAGTATTGTTTTGGGGGCTGCTGGGGGCTAGTTGTTGGATGTTTTGGTTGATCTATATTTATAGGGAAAAAAAAAAAAAAAAAACTCCCTATTAAATCCCTATAAGCGAGAGTGGGGTGGGGGCAATACTTGCACGCAACTTTACCCTTGCATATTTGTAAAGAGACTATTCCCCGAATTTGAACCTATGAAGTTCCAGTCACAAAGAAGTTAGCTTTACGAGGGGCTTGCCCTCTTATCTGTATTCATAGGATTAGTGTGATAAAATCTTGCTCATCCCACCCCTAAAACAATATAATGGATAGCAGGGTCACTCTTGTATCAAAGAATACAGATGTAAGATAATTAATTCATACTATACACACAAAACTGCTCAAAAAATAAATAATATCATCATCACTTTTATCCCAAGCTAGTTGGGGTTATCTAAAATTATGACATATTTGTTAAGTGCCACTTTAACCCAAAACCTTAAGGCATTGAGTGAGACTTAATTAATTATTTTGTCTCTCTCTAAACACACATCCTTATGCAAGAGCCCTTTAGGCTTGAAGAGTGGATATGGCACAAGCCCTTTTTTGGTTTACCTTGTGCTTTTCTTAATTCCACCTGAAAGTGGGGGGCGGTGAGAATCGAACACATGACCTCCTGGTCACTCCAGCACTGATACTATGTTAAGAATCAAATCAACCCAAAATGGGGGGCGGTGAGGATCGAACCTATGACATCGAGGCTCTGATACCATGTATAGAACCATTTCAACCTTGAATTGGTTCTTTACAATATTCGTAATTAATAGGGGTGACAATTCGGGTTGACCCGACATGACGCAAATTTGACACTAACATGAATACACTCAACATGAATGCGACACAAATTTGAACATGGGTCAAAACCTTCCACATGAACATGATCTACTTGTTTTTCCGGTTGCCACGACACGACATGACATGAATAACTTGCCAACCTCAAAATGTGTCGCTTATTATGCAGGTTGACACGACATGACACGATACAACACAAATGATCTAAAAAAAATAATGCAGGTCAGTTTGGTGTTTACGGGTTGACACACTACACGACAAAATTTTTTTCGTATCGGATTTTGCCAACTTGAACACGACATAAATTTTAAAACAGGTCAAACCGACTACGGTTTTTTTATATTGTAGTCGTGTCAATGAGTTGTGTTGAAAATTTCCACCCCTAATAATTAATAATCAAAACTCATAGTCTAAAGTCTAAACGCACAATCATCATGACAAGTCAATTTTACCAAATGTCAAGGAACATAAAGGGGTGTAAAGTACAACACTAAAATCTAAATCTTAATATAGGATGATGAGTCTCTGCGAAGAGCATGACAACATAGGAATGAAGTAAATAAAATGGAACTAATAGAGGAAAATCAGAACACTTAGATATGAGGAGTTGAAAACAGAGACAAAGGAGGAGATGGAAAAAAGAGAGACAAATTAGGAGAATAGTGTCTGTGACCTCTATACGTGAACAGAACAGAGACAAAAGAGCTGTGCTGTGAGACGGGAACAGAGATTTGGCAGGAAACAATGCTTGAGAACTGTGGTCAGTAGCCAAAAATGAAATGCTGGTTATCTTTCATGTTATTTGTTTTGAAACGGTGAGAATTTTGGTATTTTGATCAAATAAGAAACCCTGTGTGTTTCTGATGTAAAATGAGGGGTAAATGCAAAAATATTCATAAAAACTGGTTCAATAATGTACAAAACAGTGGGGTAAAGGGGGGATTTTTCCCCTGTGAAGAATAGCCGCTGCAATGGCTGCGGCAACAACAAAACGCAACCCTATCTGATTCTCATAGCAGCTGGAGGCTGTGATGCAGAGCTAGGCTGTTATAGCACACTATTGATAACTATGGAGAGAAGTAACTGGAAATCTTGTGGAAGGCAGTTGGAGAATGTTTGTACTCTTATACTAGCCTGCTTTTAAGAAGCTCAAATTATCCTTTATTTTGGAGATTCTTATGTTTTTCCATCTACCTTAGCCCACTAATTTGAGCTAATATTTTTGCCCCAAACTTTCCTTTAAAATATAACTGCAAATGATATATCTTACTTGAATTGATGAGATGCATGCTCTTCTTTGCACAAAATGGGAAAATGGAAGCCATCTTTCTGAACTTGGAGATTTATTTCCATGGTCCTGGACCATGTGGTCCCTTAGTATTATTGGGGGGCAAAAGGGAAATGAATTAAAAATTAGGGGCAAAATGGGAAATGAGTGTGAGAGGGAGCACAAAACTATTCAATGGTCCGGGGCCATAAAATTATTTTCCCTGAACTTGACTCATGTTCTGTATGTCTGCTGCGGTAATTAATTATATTTTAACACATTTTCACCACTCTGTAAGCGATTCAGAGTGTTAATTTGATAAGAGAACCTTTATGTCATGTATAACAATCAGCTAACTAAATGATTTACTCAAGAGGTAATAATATTTATGGATAGTAGCCCAATACACATAGATACATAAGCTCATATATGACATATTTTCTGTCAATTTTTTATAAGAACAATTGTATTGTGTATCACATATTTGAATAATTTAATCAAGAGACGGATGTTTTTTTCTAGCAGAATGATCATATTATTGCAATTTTAAAAAATAATTACCGGAATAATACAGTTTTCAAACATATAAGCAAACCAATGCAGTCAGTTCCGCACAGTAACCAAACAAGACTAATCCTGCACTTTAGTTGTGTGGGACTTACAATTGTATGCTGGCAAATCTCACACGTCAACCATGCAGGAATAACAATTGTTGTACGCAGTCAAGTCTTGCTTGCTTGATGTGCGGGACTAGTCTGCATGGTCAGTGTACAAGACTTACTGGTCCAAGCCATGTGGCGGGATCGTGACCATGCAATGCCCAAGCTTGCATTCCAAAAAGTCCCTCGCAAAATGCATGTGGGACTAGTCTTGCGTGTTTATGATGCATGACGTGTTGCCAGCATGGCAGTCCCGCATAAAAAACATGCGGGACTAGTCCCGTATGCATTTTGTGTGGGACTAACTGCATTAGTTTGGTGATATCTTTTATAACTGTATTATTTCAAAAATTTGTATTGTAATCCTCATTAATACGAATTTGATGCATGCACATTTGCCATGTAATAGTGTTTTATTTTTGCAAGAATTGTCCCCTTTTTTTTTGTGTGAATGTACTTACTAATGCCTTGTAATCCGCGTTACTTTTTTTGGTTGTTCATAGATATAGGTACCTCTTGTTGTGGCACTGAACCTTGATTTTCTAATTGGTGGCTTGAATGTATAGCTAATTATTAGATTTTACAAAATTGTTTTGTGGGTTAGTAACTAGCAATATCCCGTGTATTTAATGAATTCTATTAAATTCACTTGAATTTTTAAAGAAATATAGATTAAAATTGTTAAAAGGAAATTTGAATTTGAAATTAAAAAGAATAAAGTAGAAGTTAAGAATGACACGTCCTTCTTTGAGGGATAGTATAATAAGATATTAAACCACTCTCAAGTAAATGTACTCTAATTTAATAGATTGGGGTGGATAATTAAGTGAAATGTACATTTAACAGAACCAATTGATATTTTTTACTTCAGGGAATGCAAGGTGCAATGAATCAGATGGGTACTCCAATGCCACAAGGTCATTATGTGGGCATGAATCAAATGCATTCAGGGTCCTTGCCCCCAAGTGGAGGGCCACCTCTTGGAGGTTTTCCAAGCAACCTCCCTAATATGCAAGGGCCATCAAATAGCAGTTATCCTCAAGGTGCTCCATTCAACAGACCTCAAGGTGGACAAATGCCTTTGATGCAAGGGTACAATCCTTACCAGGTAGGATTGTATGTTCCTTCGTGAACTACTTATTGTTACATCATGCTAGTAAGTTGTTTGGAAGTTGAAAGTCAAATGGTTTTGATCCACTTCTTTTATCATAAATTATGTGGTTGTTTAAATTGTTTTTTGGTATCTAGCGCACACATCAAAGCAGAAAGCATTTCTATGGCTGCATGTCTATGATAACTGCCCTCTCTCCGCTGCACCTTCCCATTTCTCACTCTCTTTATTTCACATATAAGAGACATTGCTTGACACTAAGCCGAGTAGAAGGCATAGAAATATGCATTTGTTCTCTGTTCGACTTGTTCATATAGCTTATTCAAGATTTTTCAATTATGAAAAGCCCCTTTCTTTTCCTTTCTCTCTTGTCCTCAGAATAAAAATTTGTATATAATCAAGAAGTGTCAAGAAATGCCTGTTGACCGAGACTATTAGCCTTGATGATCTTATGCAATATTTTTGAGAGAAAGTCGGCTAATTGAACATTAGATTAAAAAGAGTCTGAATATTTGAGAGGAACTAAGCATGTGGCTTTTGATGCCAAAGTTTTCCATCCTCTCTTTGAGAGAGGAAGGGGAGCTGAGAAATTCGGTGAAGGCCTATACATGGTCCATTTGATGTTGTTGGGGCCATACAAGCTCCTTCTGGCTAATGTCTACTCTATCAGACTAGGGTGAAAGACCTGTGTTTTCTGTGTTATTTGATGATGCAGGGAGTAAGGAAATTGCTACGATACCATCCCCAATCATCTGGGTGACTTTTTCTTTGGCAAGGAAAGAATTTTCAGTACCCATTCCAACCATAAACAATGCTAAAGTTGTTTTATTTGGTGCTGTTAATGCTTTCAACTATAATTAAGGCAATAAAGCAATCAGCCTCTTGGTTAATAAGAGACAACCAGGACCCCCATCCCTTGATTCATTCTTTGTCAGTCGATGTTGTTCATCGTGATGGTGTGAAAGTAACTATGTTTGAGCTCGATCTTATACACATTACTATTAACAAAATTTCTGAAAATATGGTTTGAAACTTGGAAAAAGTCTCATTCACAAAGAAAAGAAAGGAGTATGATTCCATTTTTTTGTAATTATTCTGATTCCAACATCTTTTTCCATTTTTCTATCATTCTCATAATGTTGACATATTATGACATCTGAATTTACTGTTATATGATTTCTAAAAGCATATTGCATTATTTCAAATTGAACTATGTTATCTAGTTATCCTAATTGGTGATGTGCCACTGTTTAATAAATAGATATACCATTTTGTGAGATATTTCATGTTAACTTTATTGCATGATCTGATTTCTCTTTCTATGATTATTTATTTTGTCATTGGAATTGGTAGGTCCAATTTTGAAGGGAAATAATTCTTATGTTTTTATTACTGCAGTCTGGAAATCAATCTGGGATGCCTCCCAGCGCACAACCAGGGGCATCACACTCTCAAATGCCTCAATAGAAAAGGAAATTGTTTTATTTCTTCGTATTTATTTAATGTGTAGTTTCGCCCCCTTTTTTCTAGTTATTGTTTTGATCTACTGCAAAAGTTTCACATAAAGAAATTGTGTTCTCTTCTGATGCTGTCAATTATTTGTAATTTTATCCTTTGGATGTTAGGGGATTCAGGAGTGAGCTAGATGTAATTTACAGTGTGTCATTGTTTGAGTTCGATTATTTGATACTATATTTGCTAAATGAGGATATAAAAAGGGGATATTATGTGAAACATTATATTCTAATGAAGGATTATGTTGTTGTTTCTTAAGTTAACCAAGTATACATCTTTTTGTTATCAAAAAAAAAAAAAAAGTATACATCTTTTTGTCATTTATTTAATAAAGTGTATCGTGATCTCAGTCTACTAAAATTTAAGGGTGGATATATCCTTATTTGCCCGAGTTAAATTTAGTTTAGAGGTACTTTTTCCTCTTAGGGATATCTTTTGAGTCAGCTGCTCCAAATATGTCTGCAACAAATCATAAAATTCTATTCACCTTTAATTAACTGAGCAAGTATTTATGCTTATAGGCAAGGATGTAAAATTAATCAGGCTAATGTGTCCAGTGCTATAACAATATTTATCAAATTGCGGGATGATCTTCTTCGTCATCTTATACCAAAATTAAAAGTTAACAAAAATGAACAAATTATTAAATTTTAAAATATAAAAAGTAAGCTTTAGCATAGTCACTGTTGGCAAAGAGAGAAGAGCTTATCTTTAAATTTCTTAAACATATACTTTGTAAATTAAATTTCCTGAGCTTTTAAACAATTCCATTTTTTGTTTGCATAAATTTACATTCAATAAAATAGGCAATTAAACAAAAAAGGTATGAAAAATCTAATATTTATTTATACAAATATATCGAAATTGTGCTCAAAATCATCGTGATTCGGTGCTATATTGCATCATAAAATTCTTGAACATTTTATAACAATATAGAAGAATTCATAGCTAGTACAATGAAAATCAATTCAATATCTATCGTAATGCCATGATAATGATCAATGATCAAGAATAAGTGTCACAAGCGTGGTATAAGTTATATTCTTAATTTATATTTTAGATATGCGAATTATTGAATACAAATAACGAATTATTGAATACAAATAAATCAATGATCAAGAATCAATGTCACAAGCGTGATGTAAGTTATATTCTTAATTAATATATATATATATTTTTTTGTAATATCTTAATTAATATTTTAGTTATGCGAATTATTAAATACAAATAACTAATTATTGAATACAAATAAATCAATGATCAAGAATCAGTGTTACACGTATAACGTACATGAACGTGCATGCACACGCATGTGCACGCATATAGTTAGGCAAGTGTCACAAAACATGCAAAAAACATCTTTGCTGCGTGAAACTGTTATATATGATAGAGATGATGGCAAAGATATTATCTTTAGCTGGCTATCATCTCACACCCACAAGCAACTATTAATAACTTCTATAGTGGGTATGGGCGGATGGGTAAGACCACCAACATTTAAACAATGACCCAAGGATGGAGGGTGATTTGGATGTCAAGACAACCAGCAATTCTTGAGGCAATCGCTTGATCAATTGATAATAGCAGAGACTTAAATATGCTTCAAGTAAAACTGAAGTAAAAATTGATAGAAAAGAAATATATCCTCATTTTGGATCACGTTTGGAATGAAAATCATATGCAATAGAAGCTTTGCAAACTCTTTTTAATATTGTCACAATACAGAGTATTGAAGTTTCGTTAACTATGCCCTCTAATAAAATACATTGCCTCAAGCAATTATAAAAAGAACATTCCGGTGAACTGCATTCGAGATGGAAATCCTCAATTTACTCCTGAGTTAAAGGAGATTGGTACAAAAATAATTAAAAAAATGCAAAGGATTGTAACTAGCATTAAAAAAAAAATTGAAAGCCTGTTATACACAAAATCCTCAATTTTGGAATGGAGGAGTATACACACAAACGAGATATGAGACCTACCAACAAAACATAGCAGTATTATCCTACTTCGAGACTGATCACCACCTTCATTCTTATCTTAAAAGATGTTTTGCTTTTCATGCATTTTCTAAAAGATTATGTGTATGAAAAGGAGTATATAATCCTATTATAAATGGCTAAATTTTTTCTACAAAGGCCTCAACATAGTAAGAGTATGGAAGATGTTGGTGAACATTAATTTGATGATTTGGTATCAAGTTATGTGATGCATGACCTTCTCAATGATTTGGCAAAGTATGTAAGCGAAGATTTTTTTTTTTGGCTGGATGTTGAAAAGGCACATAATATATCAAAAATTGACCTATCATTCTTCGTTTTATAAAAGTCACATAAGATATTTACAGGGTTTGAAGGTTTATATGATGTTAACGAACTACATATATTCCTACTTCTCCCTAATAATGCTACAGGTAGGTGATTTCCTCTTAAGCAGATGCCCTGCTTGTTCTCTAAGTTTAAATTCTTACATGTCTTATCTTTGTCCAGTGACTCAATTGTAATTGAGTTGCCTAATTCTATAGGCAATCTTAAAATTCTCCATTATTTGGATCTTTCTCCTACTGAAATAAAAAGGCTACTTGATTCAACATGTTTGCTCCACAAGATACAAATAATGAAGTTGAACAATTGTCAATAAGCTGCCTTAATTTGCATAAACTCACAACTTTGCGTCCCCTTGAATGAAGAATTAAAATGAAATGATATTATATTTTGTGGCATGTTAATAATTTGTGAATATATATATTTTTTTCTAGAATCATTCCTTTTATAATTTTCTAGAAAAGGGAAATTAAAAGTTTACAAATTATTAATACAATATCACGATTTTCACCATATATGCACGGTACGTGCAAAATATCAATTCGTTTCGTAATACCTTGATTTTAGAGGAAGTAAGATGTGAAAGACACCAATGCACGTGGAGAAATTAGAGAATCTTCAAGTATTGACTTTTTTATGTGGGAAAAGTCAGTGAGTTCAACATTGAACAATTAAGAGAACCCAATTTTTATGGAACACTATCTATTTGAGAGCTACAGGATATTAATAATTGCTTAGATGCATTAATAGCGAATCCGATAAGTAAAATATACCTTGTGGCTTCTATTATTCCCTGGACTCCAGCCATATGTGAATTAGATGTACCGAATTGTGGAAAGGTGCAATAAGACTATGATTCATCCACTGTGAAATGTCTCGGGATTGGGGGAAGCTGCATGGAAGGATCATTGCTTGAAAAGATTGATAATTTGTATGCAGGTGCATGAACTTAATCTTGCGCTCTGCAATAGCATCCTGTGATGCTTGTTGGGTTTCTTTTTGACTTTTCTCAGCTTTACACGCCCAATGTTGCAAAAATATTAATATATTATTATTTTAATAATTCTTTTTAAAAATATAATTATTTTGAAGTAATTTACGACTTTATTACATTCATTTTATCGTCCAAATTAGGTGTGAGCACTCTTGCCCAATTTAAGCGAATTCCAATCACCCAACTCCAACTTGCCTTTTTAGGCAAGACCACTGTTGCCTTTCTTGGACGAGAGACAGAAGACTAAAGCATAAGTTGTAACACGATCTACTGGCCCCACGATGATCTCTAAATCAACAAGATCTGTCAATGGAGAAAGTGCAAGGCCTAACATTTACAACAACAACAAGATTATTGAGGAACGCTCAACCTCTTCCAGTTCTTGTGAATGTTGAGGCCTTGCACTTTCCCCATTAATAGATCTTGTTGATTTAGAGATCAGGTTGAGTGCCATCATCGTGGGGCCAATAGATGTGTTACAACTTGAGCTTTAGTCTGCTGACTCTCGCCCCCGAGTTTGGTGACTAGAATTTGTCCAAATGAAACGAGAATGCTCGCCTAATTTGGGTGAGAGTGTTCACGTTTGATTTGGGCGAGAGTGTTCACGTCTAATTTGGATGAGAGTGAATGCAATAAATTTGTAAATTGATTTAAAATAATTATATTTTCATAATTTTTTTATTAAAATAATAATATATTAATTTTTTTTTCCTGAAGTTACTGTTCCACATAACTGTTAATAATATATTGTATAGTTTTTTGTTTTTCAAATATTTTCTGAATTCCAAAACACTATCTTCTGAAGGAATTTAGGTAGAAACTCCAATAAATCCCGTAAGTTATTTAAGAATCTCGTTTCAGATATCCATGTTATACAATTTCTCTACAGATATACACAATGTGAAACTAGAGACATTGGTATTGTGACATCATAGTTCTTAATTTGTTCTTACAATACATAATTTGCAGCTAGATAAAATTTCTTGAATTTTATTTTATTTTGGTTGTGTTATGTCCTACGGCAAAGATGTCTAGTCAGATATTAGTATGTCGATCTTAGATCTAACGAGCTCTCTTAGATATCTATGAAGGAAATATCCTTGAGGTAATATGACACTGTGCATAGAATATTGACGTAGCCAAAATGGTGATGTGTGTGCATAATAATAGCATAACAATATATAAGTGAGAGTGTCATAATTATAGGCTTTACCCCTTATTTATAAGGTTTAACTATAGATAGTAAAATTATGGACCTCTAGTGGCTTTCTCGAAGGCTCATATCCAGGTTCATTGTAAAGCCTTCCTCTACTCAAGTCAGAAGATCTTTAAGAACCCGAAGTCATCCACATTACTTGCAAGACTATCACTGCAATCTCTCCATCACATCAGCTCCTCCAGTCATCTCAGGTATTCACTCTTCCTCCACTCCTGCATATCCTTTATCCACTGTGTTATCCTATGACAATTGTTCTTCCTTTTATAAAACTTTCTGTCTTAATATCACCACACATACTGAACCACACACTTACACTCAAGCCTCGAAATCCCCTACTCAAGTCAGAAGATCTTTAAGAACCCGAAGTCATCCACATTACTTGCAAGACTATCACTGCAATCTCTCCATCACATCAGCTCCTCCAGTCATCTCAGGTATTCACTCTTCCTCCACTCCTGCATATCCTTTATCCACTGTGTTATCCTATGACAATTGTTCTTCCTTTTATAAAACTTTCTGTCTTAATATCACCACACATACTGAACCACACACTTACACTCAAGCCCTTTGGTTGAGATCATAACCATACATGGAATCTAGTCCCACATTGGTTGTATGTGCAACTAGTGTGGAGTTTATAAGACCTTGGGCACTCCACACTAGTTGCACATACAACCAATGTGGGACTATAAAT